GTCGCTGCCGAAAATGTTTACGAACGGGGATTCCAGGATGCGGCACCTGCCTCCCATAAATTCTCCACCCCCGCCCAAACGATACAAGTCCGAGTCGACCCCAGCGAGCGATGCCGGCCACTCTAGATACTACTCGCACTCCGTGGCGAGTGATCGAGTCCGATCACGACAGCCGTCTTCCGCCATGGACTTGTACACGCTGATCGACAGAGATCCGGTCGATAAAGATCCTCGCAGGAACGCTCGCTTTACTAGCAATGGATCGGTGGCCACGCAGGCATCCCACACGTCGAACACATCTCAAGTATCGCGATCATCTCCGATCATAATTTCTGATCGCAAGTATGTCACTCTATACTCAATTGTGTAGATTCAATGATTGACCCCCGTCCGAACAGGATTCCCGAGAAATACCCGAATCACAAGGAGAACGGCCGAACGTATCACGGCTATCGGAAAGGAATCTACCCGCTCCCGTGCGACGAGGAAGAACAGGACCGTCTCGACATATTCCACAAACTGTTCACGGTTGCACGGGCCGAGGATGGCTTGATCTATGCACCACATCCCCCGGGGTCTAGAATTCTCGACCTGGGTTGTGGAACGGGTATATGGAGCATTGAAGTTGCGAACAAATTCCCGAATTCCTTCGTGGTCGGTGTTGACCTTGCGCCAATACAACCGGCCAATTTCCCAAAGAACTGCGATTTCTATGCCCCATTCGACTTTGAGGCGCCCTGGACCTTGGGCGAGGATTCATGGGATATCATCCATTTGCAGATGGGATGTGGAAGTGTCGCAAGTTGGCCAAGTCTCTATCGACGAGTCTTCCAGCATCTCCGGCCAGGTGCCTGGTTTGAGCAGGTCGAAATCGATTTCCGGCCCCGTGTTGAGGATAAGGATGGCGAACCGGGACGCGCTATGGCTAGCTGGTACTCGACCTTGAAGCATGCAACTGAAGCCACCATGCGGCCCCTGGCCCACAGCTCAAACGAGACAATCCGGAATTTGCAAGAAGCGGGCTTCACTGAGATCGACCACCAGATTGTGGGATTGCCTATGAATCCATGGCATCCTGATTCCCACGAGCAGAAGGTGGCGCGCTGGTACAATTTGGCTATTTCTGAGAGCGTTCAGCCAATGTGCCTGGCTCCTTTCAGTCGGGTTCTTTCTTGGTCCAGGGAGCAGATTGACCGTATTGCATTCGATGTCAAGCAGGAAGCTTTCGACAAAAGAATCAAAACATACAACCTTCTGCACATTTATCAAGCGCGAAAACCCCTCGAGGAATAATCTGGTGAATCCTACCCACATGGCAATCGACCAAAGGGCAGCTTTTCCAATTTGAAGGAGGTGATCTCAACAGTGTTGGCTTCATTGCCCGAAAACCACACCCGCCTTGCCTGATCATCAAATTTAAAATAGACCGGGTCGCCGCTCACAGACTTTGGCTGGCCCAGAGTGCACTTGTCACGCTATGTTGAATGTGCTTCTGCTGCAAGTGACTGCAAATAAATGTTCGCTCCAGAGCCAACGGCCTCTCAGCACAGCTTTATGATTTTTTTTTTTTTTTTTTTGTTCCTAGTCCAGGTCTGTCTGAGAACCGAGATACTATCTCTGGAAAAGTGGTGGCCTTCTAGGTCCTAACAGCCGGAATGGGTATGAACATTGTTTAATTGACTTCCTATGGAGGTTTGGGGGGTTGACGGCTGACACGATGTGTATGTTCTTTCAATACGCTTCTTTCTATGCGCCCACGGTCTACTCGGGTCATGACTCTTATTTTCTTTCATTCTACACTACACAATTTTTTCTTTTTCTTTGTTTATTTCCTCCGCATGCTGGACTTTGCATCTCGTGGCGTTTTGGGCTTTCACCCGAGGATTTCAAATCCTTGAGGCTTGTGATATATACCCAGATTACTTTCCTATAGTTTCTGACACTTCCATTTGCTACCTGAATGACGAGTCAATATGTTTCTTTGGAATCTACTTTGCTCTTTGTATGCTCATCTCCTATATCTTTCTCTATTTTTGGTAGTAATGGTCTAATAGCCCCATGCACTACCTCGATGCATTTGTTGAGACGGACCAACGTCTGGAAGACTGCACCGTCAAGTCCAGTTCTACTACACCCGGGTTTAATTTACTATATTGTCAGCCTCATTATGATGGCAGGCTCTATTCGTTTTTGCAATCATTGCTGTCGATATTTCTCTATAAAGAACGTCTCGAATCTTGCAAAGATATACATATGTAGCTCTGTTAAACATAGTAGCACCTGGACCATTTGAATAATCATACATTCATTGACTACAGCACTAAATCAAACAAAGTGCAGAATCTTTTCCTCCCAACGCCGGATTGTAGACCAACCACCCCCGCCCTAAAGATGAACACCGCTATGCAAAATATGCTAGTACAGCTCTAACAACATCGGAGATGTAGGAGGTAGAAAAAGGTAACACGCAAAAAAAAAAAAAAAAAAAAGAAAAGAAAAGAAAGAAAGAAAGAAAGAAGCAAGAAAGACCTGCCAACTATCGGCGCCGACTTCTGGTAGTACCCCTCGAAGTCCCATTAGCCGCAGGCTTCTCCGCATCGCCATTGCCATTGACACCCTCTCTGCCAGCTCCAGGTGTCCTGCGTCGCATAGTTCCGGGCCCAACAGCAACAACATCCTCCTCACCAGAATCACTGTCCTCGATGTCCAGCAAGACAGGAAGATTAAACGGCTCAACGCCATCAGTATCCCCATCCCCCTTCACCAGATCAAGCGTCACAGCATCCGGCACCTCATCCTCTTGATCTAGCCGGCGCTGATGCACCTGCTCAGCTGGGTGAACATCGAACTCATCCTCCGCCTCCATGTACTCAACGTTCTCCTCGACCTCGCCGAAATCAGGTGCTAGCGCTGACCACTTCTGCGGCGACACGATCGACCAGGTGTAGATGCACCCGGTCTCCAGTCCGCATGCCACAACCATGGGTCTGCTAGGGTGCCATTCCACGACGCCGAGTTCCTCCCGTGGCCCCTCCAGGATCTTGACTAGCGAGCCGTGGCTGCGTTCCCACACGTAGATATCAGGGTTCATGAACGTTGTCGCGGTGACGAACTCGCCTGTAGATGAGAATGTCACGTGGTTCCAGCTGAGTCGGTTGACCACGTCTTGGAACTTGTGTTCCACGTGTAGCTTTATCGCGGATGGTTCCAGGTCGATCCCCAGCTGTGAGAGGTCGGGCATTATTACTGTGCGGATTACTCGGTCCGAGCTGTTGACTAGGAGGTCGCGTCCATTGCTGGCTAGTCGGAGTAGGATTACGACCCCGTTGCAGAGGCGCATTGAGTGGATTGTGGTGCAGGTTTGGGTTTCGATTATGTTGATCCAGCCTTTGGAGGTGCCAGCGATTATGTGGTTGCCGAAGGCTGTGAAGATGGTTACGCATGTCGAGTGTTTGGCGTCTTGCGCTGCTTGTTTCGCGGCTACAGCCGGGTCGACTTCTTCGCCGTTTGGGGCTTGCGGTCTGAGGGGAGCGGAGGGGAGGATTCGTTTGATTGGTTTTGTGCTGGAGACGTCTACCAGTACTGGTTGGTCTTCAAAGAGGGAGGCGACGAAAAGGAGGCTGGAGAATAGAACTGGTTAATTGATATGGCTTGACGAATAGCGGGGGAATCGAGGTAGCTGTACTGGTTGAATGGGTGTAGCTCGGCGATATAGACTGGCGCCTCGAATCGGACTGTGCGGATTCGTGAGCCGTCTTTGAGATCCCAGAGGATGCATTTCCAGTCTTGGGAGGAGGTGAGAAGGTAGCGACCATCGCGAGACCAGCTGGATATGTGGTTAGTATCTTGGAGTTCAACGTAAGTCGGGATGTTTAGTGTGGGGAAATTGTACCTGAGAGACTGGATCTGTCGCGTGTGGCCTTGCAATTTGCGCGCCACGCCATTGGTCTCAATGTCGAAGATCACCACTGTGCCATCCACCTGGAGCATGTCTTAGTCTTCTGGCCGATGTGTGATGTGTCTTTTTTTGTTTTGTTTTGTTTTGTTTTGGGGGGGGGTTAGGGTTTGGTGTTGGGGTTCACGAACTCGTCCAGAGGCAAGATAGTCGCCTTTGTGGTTGAAGCTTAAACATGTCGCATGGCCACTGCCTATGTTGCGTTGACTCGGTCAGTAGTCTTCATTACCGGGAAGTGCGGGTGGAACGTACTCAGTTTCTCAGTCAAGGTATCTGGGTATTCCTGCGCCAGGACAAATGGATCGACGAGTGAGAGATTCATTGCGATAGATCTGTGTAGATGGAGGTGGATATCTGAATTCAAAGTGAATCCTCAGCCCGTTAAATAGGCCAGGATAGTAAATGGTGTTCAAGCATCCAGTGTGAAATCCAGATTGAGTGAAACAGCTGAAGTAGCTTATCTGGAGTTACAATAACCTGGGTTCCTTCTGCCGATGTCGATATCCATAGAATCTGGAAGATGCTAGGGCGGTGAAAAAAGCCCATCTAAAACAAACCCAGGTCGATGCCTAAGATTGATGCCTGGAGCATTCACCGCTCCCATTTACTATAGTGGAAGGTACATTGATTCTGCCGTTGGCTGCACTTTGGAGAAGGTACCCACACTTCTGCCAAAGCGGTGAGATCCAGTTTAGACGGCAGCCATCGTGCAGGGAAAACTCAAGCCCCATCTCAGTGAGGCAACCTCAGAACATCACCCTTTCATCTCCCCGACACGCCATCCACCCACCGCCTCTACAACCCAGGAGGATCGCGCTTTCTCATCGCGATACTTCTTCAACATACCGCGAAGACGACATTCTTTGCCTCGCTCTCTTTCTCCTTCTTTTTTGCTCCGTGACGTTCGGGACCTCTAGGTCGCCGGCGCCCTCGTGGCAAGGGCTGCCCAAGGCCTCAGCCGGCCAGCTGCTTCCACACCACTTTCTTTCCATCGTCGCTACGTGTAAATCTGACTTTTAGCTTACGAGCGAGTCTGTTACTCCCATTTTCGCGACATTTACGAGCTGAGCTTCGTCGTTTATACCGGTTTTACGACACGCCTACGTGACCCGTCATCTCCGCCTTTTTTTCATCCTCATTTTTCGTCAGAATAACTCCGCCATCATGTCTAACGTGTTTTTCCCTTATTCCAAGGCGCCTTTGCGCACTATCAAGGAAATTCAGTTCGGTCTCTTTGCCCCCGAAGAGATCAAGCGCATGAGTGTGGTTCACATTGAATACCCCGAAACACTGGTGAGTAACTCTTAGTTTTTTTTTTTTTTTTTTTTTTTTTGGATGGGGTTTCCTCTTCCTATGCGCCCCGACGACTTAATTGCTAAGTGACCAACAGGACGACCAACGTCAACGGCCTCGGACTAAGGGTATCAACGACCCTCGACTCGGTACAATCGATCGTCAATACAATTGTGAGACTTGCGAAGAGGGCCCAAAGGAATGCCCTGGACATTTTGGTCACATTGAACTCGCGTCTCCAGTGTTCCATATTGGTGCGTAATAGATTCGCCTGTTTCCTTCCTTCGTCTTTTCTGTTCATGCTGACTCCTGGCCCCACTCTAGGTTTTCTGACGAAAATCAAGAAGCTTTTGGAGACAGTTTGCCACAACTGTGGAAAGATCAAGGCCAACACGGTTAGTCGTCCCTACTGGGATGGCAAATCTTGAATGGTTTTTGCTGACATGGATACCAGGCCGATTCGAAGTTCACAGACGCCCTTCGTTTCCGCGACCCAAAACGTCGATTTGATTCCATCTGGCGACTGTCCAAGGATGTCTTGGTATGTGAAGCCGACGCGCCTGCTGATGATGAGGAATTTTCGAAGGAGTCCCAGAAGGGCCGCTCCCATGGAGGCTGCGGTAACGCCCAGCCCACCGTTCGGAAGGAAGGAATCTGCTTGGTTGGAACATGGAAGCCTAGCAAAGCTATGATGGAGGACGAGATGGCTCAACCAGAGAAGAAGGTCATTACTCCCACAATGGCCTTGAACATCTTCCGAAACATCTCCATCGAAGATGTCCGCATCATGGGACTCAGCAATGATTACGCTCGTCCCGAGTGGATGATTCTGACTGTCTTGCCCGTCCCTCCTCCGACCGTTCGCCCTAGCGTCGTGATGGGAGCCACAAGTGGCGCTCGCGGTGAAGATGACTTGACTTATAAGCTCGCGGAAATTGTCCGTGCGAACCAGAACGTTCAACGCTGTGAGCAGGAGGGAGCACCCGAGCACGTTATTCGTGAATTCGAATCTCTCCTTCAGTACCACATTGCCACTTACATGGACAATGACATTGCTGGTCAACCCACGGCCATGCAAAAGGGAAACCGCCCCGTGAAGGCTCTTCGCAGTCGTTTGAAGGGTAAAGAGGGTCGTCTCCGTCAAAACTTGATGGGAAAGCGTGTCGACTTCTCTGCTCGTACCGTTATCACAGGTGACCCTAATTTGAGGCTGGACGAAGTTGGTGTCCCATACTCAACTGCTCGTATTCTCACCTACCCGGAAGTTGTCACACCATACAATATTGAGAAGCTCCAGAAGTTGGTTGCAAACGGACCTAACATTCACCCTGGTGCGCGATACATTGTTCGTGATAATGGTGAACGTATTGATCTTCGCCATGCTAAGCGTGCGGGTGCTCAGCAACTGCTGTATGGTTGGAAGGTCGAGCGTCATCTTGACAACGGTGATTATATTCTGTTCAACCGTCAGCCATCTTTGCACAAGGAATCTATGATGGGTCACCGCGTCCGCGTTATGCCCTTCTCTACATTCCGCATGAACTTGTCTGTCACCAGTCCCTACAACGCTGATTTCGATGGTGACGAGATGAACTTGCACGTCCCCCAGGGTGAAGAGGCGCGCGCTGAGCTTGCTGAGCTCACTTTGGTCCCGAAGAACATTGTTTCTCCGCAGCGTAACGGACCTCTGATGGGTATTGTGCAGGATACTCTCTGTGGGATCTATAAAATTTGCCGTCGTGACACCTTTCTTACCAAGGACCAAGTTATGAACCTCATGCTGTGGGTTCCTGATTGGGATGGTGCCATTCCACCTCCCGCAATTATTAAGCCTCGCCCCCGTTGGACTGGAAAACAGATGATCAGCATGGCTTTCCCCTCTGGTCTGAACCTTCTACGTGTTGACAAAGACGGCTCGCCTTTGGCTGAGAAGTTTAGTCCTCTCAGTGATGGAGGTCTCTTGATTCACGGCGGACAGCTGATGTATGGTATGCTCTCCAAGAAGACGGTCGGTGCCAGTGGTGGTGGTGTCATTCACACCATCTTCAACGAGTACGGCCCTGACACTTGTGTCAAATTCTTCAGTGGAGCTCAAACCATCGTCGGGTACTGGTTGCTGCACAACGGTTTCAGTATTGGTATCGGTGACACCATTCCCGATCAACTTACTATCAACAAGATCGAGGAGGCCGTTCGCAACAGAAAACAGGAAGTCGAGGAGATCACGGCTAGTGCCACCGAGAACACATTGGAGGCCCTTCCTGGTATGAATGTGCGTGAGACATTCGAGAGCAAGGTCTCTCGTGCTTTGAATAATGCCCGTGACGAAGCTGGTGATGCAACGGAAAAGAGTCTCAAGGATCTGAACAACGCCATTCAAATGGCGCGGTCCGGTTCTAAGGGTTCGGCAATCAATATTTCGCAGATGACTGCCCTTGTCGGACAACAGTCCGTGGAAGGCAAACGTATTCCGTTCGGCTTCAAGTATCGTACCCTTCCTCACTTCACCAAGGACGATTACTCTCCCGAGTCCCGTGGATTCGTCGAGAACTCATACCTCCGTGGCTTGACTCCTACCGAGTTCTTCTTCCACGCCATGGCTGGTCGTGAAGGTCTGATTGATACTGCTGTTAAGACTGCCGAAACTGGTTACATCCAGCGTAAGCTGGTCAAGGCCCTCGAGGAAGTTATGGTCAAATATGATGGCACTGTGCGTAACTCGCTTGGAGATATCATTCAGTTCATCTATGGAGAAGATGGTCTCGACGGTGCCCACATTGAGAACCAGCGTGTGGATCACATCAAGTGTTCCGATGCGAAGCTCATGGACCGATTCCGTGTTGATGTTATGGACCCCGAGCGAACCCTCGGCCCAGAGATTTTGGAACAAGCCAACGAAATTGCCGGCGACATCGAGGTACAGAGATACTTTGATGAAGAATGGGAGGCCATTCTGAAAGACCGTGACTTCCTGCGCACTGTGGTCAAGGAGGACGAAGAGATGATGCAGCTTCCCATTAACGTCCAGCGTATCTTGGAAATGGCTCGAACCACTTTCCGTATTCGCGAGGGCACAATCAGTGATTTGCACCCCGCTGAGGTCATTCCTCAAGTTCAGCAGCTCTTGGATCGCTTGGTGATCGTTCGTGGTAACGATCCCATTTCGCAAGAGGCCCAGGTTAATGCAACCTTGCTGTTCAAGGCACAACTGCGCAGTCGTCTCGCTTTCCGCCGCCTTGTCACCGACTATTCGCTCAACAAGCTTGCATTCCAGCACGTATTGGGCGCTATTGAAAGTCGTTTCGCCCGCGCGGCAGCCAACCCTGGTGAAATGGTCGGCGTTCTTGCGGCTCAGTCTATTGGTGAGCCCGCGACTCAAATGACACTGAACACTTTCCACTTTGCTGGTGTGTCATCCAAGAACGTCACGCTTGGTGTTCCACGTCTTAAGGAAATTCTCAATGTTGCCACGAACATTAAGACGCCATCCATGACTGTGTACCAAGAAGGCATGAAGACCCACGATAAGGAGGGTGCTAAACTCCTCCGAAGTCTCGTGGAGCACACTAGTCTGCGCTCGGTGACGGAGTCGACGGAGATTTACTATGATCCCGATATTCAGTCCACTGTCATTGAGAATGATAGAGACATGGTGGAGTCATACTTCATCATTCCTGAAGATAATGCCGACGACGCATCTCAGCAGTCGAAGTGGTTGCTCCGTATCGTCCTCAGTCGCCGCTCTCTTCTTGACAAGGGTCTCACGGTGCAGGATGTTGCTACAAGGATCAAGCAGGCATACCCTCGTGATATTGCAGTCATCTTCAGTGATAACAACGCTGACGAGCAAGTTATTCGTATCCGTCAGGTACAAGACTACAAGGATGACGATGATGAAGATGTTGAGTACGACGTCACCTTGAAGAAGCTTGAGCAGCACCTGCTAGATACTTTGACCCTTCGTGGAGTTCCCGGCGTGGACCGTGCGTTCATTAACGAGAAGAGCAAGGTCCGTGTCATCGAGGATGGTACGCTTCACACCAGCAAATCCGATCCTCTTTGCAAGGAATGGGTCCTGGAAACCAGTGGATCTTCCTTGGCTGCTGTGCTTACGATTCCGGGCGTCGACGCTTCGCGCACCTACTCTAACCAGTTCATCGAGATTTTCGAGGTCTTCGGTATTGAGGCTGCCCGTACAGCTGTGCTTCGCGAATTGACGCTCGTGCTTGCCTTTGACGGTTCTTACGTTAATCACCGTCACTTGGCTCTGCTGGTCGATGTAATGACTGTGCGTGGTTATCTGACTCCTGTTACTCGTCATGGTATCAACCGTGCCGACAATGGTGCCCTCATGCGTTGTTCGTTCGAAGAAACAGTTGAGATTCTGCTCGAGGCTGCTGCGTTCGGAGAGCTCGACGATTGCCGCGGTGTGTCGGAGAATTTGATCCTTGGACAGATGGCGCCCGCCGGAACGGGTGAGTTCGACGTCTACCTGGACCAAAGCTTGCTCAATACCGTTGTGTCCAACAATGCACGGTACGGCCTTATGGGTGCAGTTGGCGCAAAGGATGCTATCATTTCCGACGGTGCTGCCACTCAGTATGACACTGGTTCTCCCATGCCCAGCTCCCCATACATGGCCGGCAGCGACCCCCATTCAACGTTCTCGCCTATGCACCAGATTGGCCAGGAGCCTACTGGAGGTCTCACCGAGTACCAGGCTAGCACTACCTTCGGTGGCTTCAGTCCCGCGCCTCGCAGCCCCGGTGGTTACTCTCCAACAAGTCCCTTCAATACTAGCCCGACGTCTCCTGGATACTCTCCGTCTTCAAGCTATTCACCGACGTCTCCTGGCATTGGCATGACAAGCCCGCGAATGATGACCTCTCCTGGGTTCTCACCTTCTAGCCCATCGTTCCAACCCACGTCTCCGGCCTACTCGCCGACCTCGCCTGCGTACGGCCAAGCGTCGCCCACATCTCCTTCCTACTCTCCAACTTCGCCTGGGTTCTCGCCGACGTCGCCTAACTACAGTCCGACTTCCCCTAGCTTTAGCCCGGCCTCGCCGGCGTTCAGTCCGACTTCGCCGAGCTACAGTCCCACCAGTCCCGCGATTGGTGGTGCTCGACACCTGTCCCCAACATCTCCCACATCCCCCAAGTACACACCAACTTCACCTGGTTGGTCTCCTACGAGCCCGCAGTCATACTCGCCGACTTCTCCAAACTTCTCTGGTTCCCCGACGTCGCCTACCTCTCCGGCGTACAGCCCGACATCCCCGGCGTACAGCCCTACGTCGCCGCGCCAGTGAGTATGGTACGAAGATGGCTTGCCTTTCTCAGGCTCGTATTCCACACCTGTACCATCATCAACTTGAACCTCAACCACTAAACAAAAAAGATCTTTTCGCGCTACACATATCGGAAATGATTGATAATTTTTTTTTTCACGATATCGGGGATTGCTTCCCATTCATTGTATCTGTTTAGTCTTTTCTTTTTACCCGAATTAACCCAACAACACGTGCCAGTTTGGTTTCAGCCGCCATTGTTTCGAGATTGTTTTCCTTTTTCCCGGCGCACTATTCCCCCATCGTGAATGCTAGGACTGCACATACTTCGATCAGAATCGAGGACAGTGTCCATGGATGCTGTGAGATAGGAGTGTGGGTTTTGGTTGCCGTTGGGGGATTGCCCAAATCCTTTTTATTGCATGGAAAGCGCACCGGGATGTATTTTGACTGCTGCTTTCTGTTTTGTACACACCCTCCAGAGGGGACGAGTAGATTCCAACAATGTTTATGACATTTTCAGTATTTTTCCTACAACTCGTAATAGAGAACAAGGAAGAGAACAAGGAAGTCTCTAGAATGGAAACTTGCGTCCTATTATTATATATGAAGCGAAGAGCATGTTAAATGAGATAGACAAGGAGCTTCGTACACATTGAAGAAATGCGTAGAAAGCATACATACATAGATACGATGTAGTGATTGGCCCTCGGCAAAATGAAGCTCCGTCAAGCCAAGTGGCCCGTACTCTGGAACTACATCATATCGCGATCCCCAGTTCGTCGCTTTTGTGATTCACATTGCTCTGAGAGTCGCAATGTGCTTCACACTCCGATATAACACCAGTAATTTGCAGGCATTATGAGGACGCCGATCTCACACTTTCTCTCGGCCCTGCGTAAGATTTGCCCGCACCTGCAGGGTCGCAATGGAAGCTGACACCCCTTTCTAGTGTTATTGCAGACATGCGCAGCTGGGCCTGGTCAGCCGCTCACCGATCAAACAGCGTCCGGGGCAATCGGCCACGATGCAGACCACGAATTTACGTTCCAGACAGGGGAAGCAGAACCCCAACCCATGACTCGTGAGTAGAGACAGCTTCCGTGCCTGGCGCTTTATCGACCGACGCTTGATACTGATCGACCTTATTGTCTGATAATAGAACGAGTTGAGAATGCCTGGGATACCCTTCGCACAATAAAGAATCCCGTCCTTCAATCCGACAAGTCGAGAGGTTTACTAGGGACTGCCGTGTACTATGGGCGCCAAACATTCCGAATGCTATTCTTGAATGGCCCTTCAACCGAAAAACCCGAGCAAAAACCGAACAAACATCTCGCGGGAGCAGTAGACGAGTTAAGAACAGCCGCAGACGAAGACCGGGACCCAAATGCGATGTTCCTGCTAGCGGAGATGAACTTCTATGGCAACTTCTCACATCCCCGCGATTTCAAAGAAGCCTTCCGCTGGTACCATGAACTTGCATGGCTGGACGGAAACAACACAGCGCAGAACATGGTCGGGTTCATGTATGCGACGGGAATTGGCGGTGCGGTCGAACCAGACCAGGCAAAGGCCCTGATGTACCATGAGTTTGCAGCCGAAGCAGGGAACATCCGTTCGGAGATGACACTTGCGTATCGCTACCACACAGGCATTGGAACGCCAAAAGATTGTGATCACGCGATCCATTACTACAAAAAGGTTGCGGACAAGGCGATCGAGTACTATCGTTCAGGCCCTCCGGGTGGTAGGGCTTTGGTTCGAGAATCATATCGTTGGGCAGATGAAGAAGGTGGTGTCTACGGTCCAGGAGCCAGTGTGTCGAGCTCGGGCCAAAATGCGCGGGACGCTGCCAATGCCACTCCTGAGGCCAGCGTGGAAGATATCCTGGAGTACTTGGATCTCATGTCCCGGAAGGGTGAGCTAAAGGCTACGTACACCCTCGGTAAAATGAATTTCGAGGGCGCCCGGGGCTTGCCGCGGAATTTCCGACGGGCTATGAGGTATTTCAAGGTTGTGACCAAGAAATATTGGAATAAAGATGGATCTGTCAACTCAAACCCCCCCGCGGGGCTTGATAAGCTGGCTTCCAAGGCCGCAGGACATATTGGTCTTATGTACCTCCGCGGAGAGGGGGTTGAACAACACTTCCCGACTGCCCTCACATGGTTCCGGCGGGGTATTGCGAACGGGGACTCTTTGTGTCAACATTGGATGGGTCTCATGTATCTCAAGGGCTATGGGGTTCCTCAGGATGGCTTCAAGGCATCTCACTACTTCAAAGCCGCGGCAGAGCAGGATTCCCCGGCGTCAGAATCACGATTGGGCGCTCTGTTCTTGGACCAAGGAGATATCGCAACCGCAACACGTTACTTCGAGCTTGCTGCCCGCTGGGGGTGGATGGAGGCATACTATTACCTAGCTGAAATGGCCAATTTCGGTGTTGGAAGACAGCGGCACTGTGGCGTGGCCGCCGCCTACTACAAAATGGTTGCTGAAAAAGCAGAGATCGTTCACTCAGCCTTCGTGGAGGCAAACGCCGCTTACGAGTCTGGTGATAATGAGGGTGCTCTCATTCCATCGATGATGGCAGCAGAGCAGGGCTATGAGAACGCACAGGCAAATGTGGCTTATCTTCTTGATGAACACCGCTCTGTGCTCTCGCTCAGTTCCATTCTCCCATGGGCTGAGAAGGCTCGGTCCTCCTTGATGCGCAATGCTCGACTGGCGTTGATTTACTGGACCCGCTCTTCCAAGCAAGCCAACATCGACTCCTTGGTCAAGATGGGTGACTACTACCTGTCTGGAACAGGTACACCCATCGACGCTGAAAAGGCCTCCATTTGTTACCATAATGCCGCTGAAGCCCACCACAGTGCACAGGGCTATTGGAATCTGGGCTGGATGCACGAGAATGGCGTGGCAGTAGACCAGGATTTCCACATGGCCAAGCGGTATTATGACTTAGCTCTCGACCTCAGCCCCGAAGCGTATCTACCAGTGAAGCTAAGCTTGATCAAACTTCGCGTTCGAGGATACTGGAATCGTATCACCAACGGAAACATTAATCCCATCCATGAGGAAGAAGGTAAGCTCCTCTTTTCCACCGACCCCGTGAAATACATCGTGTCTTTCTAGTTTCTTACGTTTCTCCACAGACTCGAAACCCCGCCGCACCTTCAAAGAATGGGTCAAGGCTTTCATTGAGAACGACGAGGAGGGCTATTACGAAGACCTTTACGAACAACAACGGGGAGAGGATGATGAATATCGTTCCTTGGAATCTGAAGGCCACGAGGATGGCTACTATGACGACCTGGACCTCGATATCGACGAGGGAATGCTTGAGGGTCTGCTTATTGTCGGATTGGCCGCTGCGCTGTTGGTTTTGGTTTATTTCCGTCAACAGCAGCAGCGTAACCGACAGAATGAGAACGCCCATGCCAATGCCCAGAATGGAAATGGGAACGCCAATGATCGTGGATTATTCCCTCAGCCTGGTGATCCTGAATTTGGGCAATGGGTGGCAGGAGGAGTTGGTCATTGAGACTATAGTGTATGCATTTCAGCGTGACTTTTTTTTTTTTGTTGATAAATTCCAATTGCTTATCGATAAGACTACATCTCCGCACTTGGCCTCTCCAACTTTTTTTGTCTTCCTTTCTCTCTAAAACCGTTGAATTTCCGAGGTCTGCATCCAATTGATGATGGACAAGCCATCTAGTAAACGTCGTCGCACTGACGCAGCTACCGCTCTCTCAAAGCCGTTCAAGTCTCCGCTACGCAGACCTGCACCAACAAACACAAACGACATGCCATCTAAGCCTGTCGTACCCAGGACTACCGAGGACACCGAAGTCCCAGCGACTCCTATCATACCTGTAGAGCCGAACTCAATATCGAATTCACCAGATCCGATGACAACTCCAGTACCTCCTAAGCGCAAACGCGTGCTACGGCTATTTCCCCAATTCCTCTCACAATCGTCCCAAACCTCCGACCCAGAGATTCTAGAACTGCAAAAACAGCATCGAGAGATCAAGTCAAAGGTCGATGTGCTGATCAACGAGCTCGAAGTAGCAACTCAGGCCCTCAACCTCGAGACCAACCCCAAATACATCGAGATTCCAACTCTAATCACCAAATGGCGGCTCGCCAGCCAGGATGCAGCGGATGAGGTATTTTTCGGTGCCAAGGAAAGGGTCAATCGCATGGGAGGAATGGCGGCTTGGAAAGAGCGGTCGAAGCGTGATGCAACTCGATGGGATTTTGATGAGGAGGATCGTGAACGGGAGCACGTTGATGAGGGAGAGGAAGATGTTGAGAATTACAGTAACGGGGGTTCTTCTGGCCATCCACTGAACAAGAACAATGTTGAGGAGAGTCAGGATGAGGTACGTGTTGTGATATTACTGTGGGTTGGGGTCCACGAGTGGAATCTGTGTGCTGACGTTGTTACTTAGGAGTTCACAATGGAGTTTATGCTCAAGAGTCTGCATGTTGATCCTAAGTTGATTGGATATGATACAAAAGCTCAAAAATGGATTAAAAGCTGATTATGCTGCCGACTGCTTGACCTGGTGAGGGTTCTTTACCGGCCCCAGGAGACGATCACGACTGTTATGACCATGGACTTTATTTCTGACCTGACCTGACCTGACCACTTGAAAATGATTATACACTTAGCAGGCAGTATATATAATTAACAAAGCATTTCTTATCAACATCGCCTAGACCTTCCTATTATAGCAACCTAATATGGAACTGATATCGCATTGGCGCGGATCAACTCCGTTATCGCGAATCTCCCCGCATTTCCTCCCACTTCCTACATTTGCCCAATTGCTGCATGTCGCGCCCTCTGAAGCATAGAGATATAGCATGCGCTCGCTGTTTCCGACACAAGCGGAAATGTGATCATGCGAAACCTTCATGTGGCGAATGTCGCCGCAAGGGTGCTGAATGCTTGCCTGCTCGGTCTCGGAAAGCGGGAGATAACATCACAATCCCTCTGGAATACTTGAAACAGCTTGAGAAACGGGTCGCAGAGCTGGATAATGAGGCCCGTACCATAGAAACAACGGTGAAAACATGTGATGCTGGAGTCCAGACGGATTTTGAAGATCCAGAACACAAGCGCAATCACTTAGGCAATGACCCGGACTATCTGATGGTTGATCAGAATAGTAGCGGAGCAGAGAATGACGACTCTCTCATACTCCTGTCAGACTTGCAACACAGCAGCCAAAGATCACCTCGAACATCTCCACCCTCCTTCTCACCTAGCGCATTCTCTTTATTCCCCGAGACAACTTTCGACGTTCCGTGGATTGACTTAGAACCTTCTTATCCTTTGAATGAAGATGACTCTCCTTGGCTGAGAGAGCTCTACACAAATGTGTATTTCTCCGTGACCCACCGCGAATGGCCCTTCTTGAACGAAGCAGCTTGGAAGTCATGGCATGCTGAAGCAATCCTGGATGGCCAGGATGAATGGAAAGCTTTCTTTCTGCAGATGGTATATGCTATCGGTTCGTCCCTTTGCAGTATTCTACAGCGAGACTCCTCGCACTCCGTCCGGTCAAAGGAGCATTATGCCTCGGCCATGAGATATTATCCATATGTTGTGGGGCATTCGTCTATGGTCTTACAAATCCAAGCTTCACTGTTCATGATACTCTACGCCTTGCATTCTCCTTCTTCCGAGGATATCGCAACGATCGTCTCTTCTGTGTTACCTTTTTGCACAGCTGCCATGACCGAGATTCGGAAGCACGTATCGATATGTCGCGACAATGGATCCATGACTGAATTTAGCGAAGTTTTGTCTGAGAACATGTTCATTACTTGCTATATGCTCAACGAAGTCATTGTCTCTGGGTGGGATCGACCAGTATCGGCTGCCTACAAAGTTGTTGACGATGACGTGAGTTATCCTAGAATACTTTTTAAATAGCTTCTCACAGTCACTAATTCAACTTAGATGTGCACACTGGGAAATACCCTCCAACCAACCTTAAGCACAAACCCCGCCATAAGCCACTTGTTCCGTCTACGCAAGATACAAGCCAACATCAGAAGATCGCGGGAGAACCGGGCTCGCCATCCCTCCGCCAAATATAGTAAAGACTATAGCTCCTCATTCAAGTCGGCCCTTGATAGATGGCGACAAGAAATTCCACACTATGAATCAGACAATGACCAGCATGGCTATCTCCATCCTATATGGATGCGAAAGCTGTATATTTACAGTCTCTTAATCTTGATAGACGAGAAACGCGATTTCATTGAGATGGACGGAACAGAAGAAATTCTCGCGACGATTGCGGAAGTTTGTCTCAATTTCCGGCTGTTGCAGGAAGAAGGACATGTGATGTGCTTTACCTGGTCTGCAGTATGTGTCAAACCCCAATTTTCTTTCCTCTATTGCGTACTTGACGTAATCCGGCTTGACTAACAATCTATCATTAGCTTGTATTCCAATTCCGAGCAGGAATCATGATGCTTTACATTGTCTGGGCGACAACCCATATCACTGATATTGAGGATCAACAACGCATCAGACAGAACAACCAACAGGCCATTGCTACATGTGCAGTTAATCTGGCTGGCTTTGTCGACCAGTGGAAGGACGCAACGCCGTATATGAAGGTCTTTGAGTTCATACGACAGAAAATCATGTTGAATGCCGGGACCTTTGGAGTCAATTCTAGTGCTCCTATATCACTGGAAGAGGCTGAGTTGCACTTGGAGCAGTTGAGGAAGAATTATTTGCACCGAGCTGTCTTGGGGATGATTGAAGATATGATGTATGGGAGGAGTATACATCAAGACTTGTTAGAGGATGATTTTAAATAGAAGTTGTAATATGAGGGCTTTGTATTTACTTTAGCGGTGCTATGTAATTTAGAAATGGAAGGAAAATTGTATCTTTTTGGTGACACTAGGTCTTCATAATCTTCATAATAAGATCAGCTTGCCCGTTATCGAGCCGGCCTCTGTATGAGCTGTAATAACTACGATAGTCTGCGTTAGAGCAGGACTCGACCATCTTTTCCAGGGCTGGTCACGTTCCGATGCGGGATAGGAAGCTATGGCAAACCATCTATCGCCCTCTATGACCGGCTTAAATGGTTGACCGTTGACATGACATTCCATAGTTCTCAGTCGTGAGTCCTTGGGTACCACTGATCCCTGGATCTGGACCACGACCGTGGAATCGCGAATCTCCTTCACTTGAGTCCTCACCACCAATTCAACAGTCGATTGAGAGGCCCATAGTTGAGGGTCTTGGCCACCGTTGATGCAATCGGAATCAAGAGCAGGTACGAGCGGTGGCTGAACACGGCCCTTCATCGCTGTCTCAAAAGCAAAGCCATACTTAAGCAGACTATTATCATCATATGCTTTTCCAGCGAACGTAAGATTAACTGGCATCCCCGTATCTTCCATGATGCCCATAGGAACGGAGATAGTAGGAACACCAAGATGACGGATAGGTCTGTTTCCATTGGAGTATTTGACGCCATTACTCCACGCATACAGCGAAGCCATCTCATCGCAGTCCGCATCAGCAGCCCCGATATCACCATTAGCCGGGAAAACCACGGCATCAAGCCCAAGCCCATCCATCCAGTCCTCAAGAGTCTCCTTGCGCGCATTCTCAAGAGCCTGGATTCCTTGCTGAATACCGGGGATGTCATAAATAGACGCTGGCCTCCGGTGCGGGTATTTAACCATCTCATCCCACCGCAGCGCATTGGCCGCATCGGGCGTGCCCTTCAAAGACCCCGGCGCAAGCGGGAAGATAGTCGTCGGATCGACCTGAGAAAGAGTCTCGAGATCCTTTTGGCCGTTATTGATCAGGAAGTCATCCCAGATATGCGCGACGAGCTCGCTCCGCTCCAGTGCAGACCAGCCTTCTGGTAGACCCGCGACGGTGACGAGCTGGCCCTTGTGTGCGTTCGATTCGTAGGTTGTCACGAGTGGGAAGTCCGTTTCAATTACCTCCGCACCACAGGACTCGAGGACCTTTCTGGCGTTCTGCCATAGCTTGATTATGGAGGGTCGGGTGTTGACTTTGCTGGCTGCGGATAGAGAAGAGTCATCGCCTCCGATGTACATTGACGGTACACCAATGCGCTTCCCGCGTAAGGATGTGCGATCTTGTAATTCTGAAAAGGACTGCGGTCGGAGTGTATTGATTGAAGGGAGAGAGACGAGTTTTTGTTCCTGGTAGAAATCCCCTATCGGAGCTTCGTCGGACACGGCCAACACATCTAGGATGTGGAACATGTCTGCTACAGTCCTGGTATGAGGCACAAGAACATCACAGGTCAAGTATAGTGGCCAGACACCACGGAGAGGAAGAAGGCCCTTCGAAGGCGTGTATGCAACAACGGCATTATTTGACGCCGGCGAGCGACCTGAAGAAACAGTCTCACTGCCTAGAGAAAAAGCACAAAAGTTGGCTGCCGTCGCAACGGCCGATCCATTGGACGAACCGGAAGCATATGCTGCAGCGAGGTATGCAGGATTATACGGACTCTCCGCACGTCCATAACACCCACGCTGCATACCCCCGTACGCCATGGCGGGCATGTTGGTCCGGCCAAGAAGCACGGCGCCGGCCTCACGGAGAAGTTTGATACATGCAGCATCCTCGTTGGCGATAAGGGTTTCAAATGCAGGTGATCCGCTCGCAACGGTCATGCCCTTGACTTTAATACTGTCTTTTGCGAGGTAAGGGATACCCTCCAATGGACGTGGGGGCAGACCTGCTGCGCGCCGGGCATCGGAGGCGGCTGCTTCATCGAGGGCAGATGGGTTTAGGACTGGGATGGCGGCGAGCTTTAGATTGTCTGCGTCGTAAACGCTGATTCGTCGTAGGTATCTTGATGCCAAGCCCACGCTAGAAAGCAACCCTGAAGAGAGCGCGGATTGGAGCTCGGAGATACTGGCGTCCAATAGCGAAAAGGCTTGGGATTGGTGAGCCATAGCGTTGAAGGGTATTAACTTTCTTGAACTGCAAAAAGCAAGTAAAATGCGAGTGATAGGATTGAATGCTTGAATGATATAGAAGGCTATGTAAAGCGGAGAATAGTCCGCTTTCCCCACACTTTTCATGCGGACTATTGACCGCCGCTCCTATCTCAGCCAAAGATAACCTTGAGAGAGAGGAGAGATAAACAATGTTGGCTTATCTCGTTGCTTTGATAGGTGGTGTTCATCTAGGGTTATATATAATAACTAGACGATGGACTTGAATACAAGAACTCAGTTTCGTTCAACTTGAACCCATGCCCATTATGAACCCCAAAGATACAAAGGTGGATCAGTCCACTGCGGAGAAAGATGTTGCTCTCGGCGAGACCCACGATATCGGAGCAAATCTGTATCTGGAGGCAGAGCAACTGACTGCCGAGGAACTGGAGACCGAGGGTGCTGCGGTGCTGAGAATTATCGACTGGAGGATTATGCCTATGGTGAGTTATCACTCTGATACACTCTCATTCTGATAATTTGATGAGACTTATTTCTGACCGTCTCTCATGTTCTAGCTCTACCTGACCTATGTTATTCAATTCCTCGGTATGCAAGAGTATTTCCCCATTATTATTCTATAAGAATACAAACTAACACATCCGTGTAGACAAACTATCACTTAATTATGCATCGGCATACTCCTTAATCCCAGACCTTGCTCTTGAAGGCCAACGATATTCATGGGTTGCCGCTATTTTCAACTTCGGCTATCTCTTCTGGGCACTCCCAGCCAACCTCTTAATCCAGCGACTGCCAATCGCAAAATATATGGGCGGTATGCTTCTCATCTGGAGTGTACTTGTTGTTGCACATGTTGGAGCGAAGAATTACCCAGGAATCCTGGTATTGAGATTCCTCTTGGGCATGGCAGAAGCCGGAGTCAGTCCGTGCAGTGAGTAACCCACAGCACAAACTAAATACATGAAAAACACTAACATGATTTGTTCTATCTAGTGATGAACCTTACATCAATGTTCTACAAGCGCTCCGAACAACCGCTACGCATGGCTGTCTGGCTCAGCGCAAACGGCATGGCCACGATGGTAGGAGCACTACTAGGATTTGGCCTCGGCCATTCACACAACACCGTGCTCCGCAGCTGGCAGTTGATTTTCCTAACCATCGGACTACTCAATTTCCTCTGCGGATGTATCTTCCTCTGGGTCATGCCCGATTCACCCAGCTCCGCCCGCTTCCTGACCCACCGCCAGCGCGTGATTGCCGTACAGCGCGTCGCTGAAAACATGATCGGCGTGAAGACCCCAGACATCAAACCGCGCCAGGCACTGGAGGTCCTCTATGATTTCAGAGTCCTCTGCTGTGCGGGAGTCGGCATCGCCTGCGGTGTGATCAACGGCGGCTCATCGAATTTCGCATCAGCCTTGATCAAAGGCTTTGGCTTCAGCGGGATCAACGCCACCCTCCTCCAACTACCCACCGGTGCGTTCGAGGCAGCGATTGTTCCAATCTGCGGTATAATTGCTACATACGTTAAAGATACACGCTGCATCGTTCTCGCTGTCGTCTGTCTGATTCCCTTCGGCGGTCTCCTGGGTATCCGCTTCACCAGCCTCGAGCATCGCTGGACTTTGGTCGGATGCACCTGGCTGCAGTATCTCATTGGTGCTCCGGTAATTATCTCGTGGAATTTACTTGCCACCAATGTTGCCGGCCACACCAAGCGTGCGGTCGCTAATGGTCTCTGGTTCTCGCTCTATGCGGCTGGTAATGTTGCCGGAGCAAATATCTTCTTCGCCCGCGAAGCCCCGCGGTATTACTCGGGTCTGCTGGGCCTGCTCATTTGCTATGCGGGTATCATTGTTCTAGCATGTGCGGCGTATATCTCGATGAAATGGGAGAATGGACGGAGAGATGCTGCAATGGTTGCGGCTGATACCCAAGAGACACCGGAGGATGTTACCTCTCAGGGTATTTTGGATGGCTTTAATGATTTAACGGATATGGAGTCCAAGCACTTTAGGTATGCGCTTTGAGCTTAGCCTCGCGCTTTTGATTTGATACAACAATTACTTTAGGATACAGCTAGGCAATGGCCAGTAATAATTTAAAAGGAGCAGGTATTCTACAATATCTGTAAAGAACCTAGAGAGTGCTGGTAATTTAAGTCCGTTAGTTTAAAGGCGTTAGCGATGATACATTCAATACATTCAATTCCACCAGCTAAATTGTTCTGCAAAAAGAATAATATGGTAAATTGACAACAAATTCAACACAGAGGGAAACCACTCCTTTGTCATTCACTAGTCATTGACGATTGGTTAACTTTGAGAAACTTTGGCCAATCCGCCGGAACAGATGACCGCGAGGAAATACAGCGCCTAGAGACGCTTTTCAAGCTAAATCCCTCATATAGCCCACTAGGAACATTGCGCTGCTGATCGATAGAATCGATGGAGTTGATTAATTTTCCATAAGATACTTGGTATCACTCATTAATTCTGTCCGTGGGTTGTGATCAAATAGATTCCTAGATGAGATGGCGAGCAATCCATCTTTGGTAGGACAAGAACATGTTTGGGAGTAAGCTTAAAAGACCCAAGTATCACCCTTGTCGATTCAAAGGAGGTGAATGATTAAGGATATTTATAGAACCAGAGCACTGTTCCTATCCACATCAGGTACAGACCACTCATATACGGTGTAAGTGCTTGGCCTGTAGAACAGCCTGGTCTATAAGGCAAGAAATCAAGCAAATATAGAATTACCAACAAATAGCATTGTGACAGTGATCACTGGTTATAGATAGACAAGTAGTTTTCCACATCTCAAGATGTTTTTATCACCTATACTTTACCTATAATACTAATAAGGGAGGAACTAGCCAAAATAAAGGGATATATAAAAGACCCCGAAAGAGATTTTTTAAAAATGACTATTAAAAAAGACGCTGTAAGGCCGAACTATTCTTGTGATTCTAAAGGGGGAGAAAAAGGAGAAAAGCCCTGTATAAATTACAAACTAGAAAAACTATCCAATGCACTAAGCGTACTTCTGAAGTCACAAATATATACCGAAATATAATCATATCAACATGGTCTTCTAGCAACAACCACAGTCTCATATGGTGTTAATCCGATATGATCTGGAAAACTCAGCTCGGAGAATGGAGATTGACAGAAACGCGGCTCATAATCTGGCCAATCGACCCGAGGCCCAAGCCAGACAATGAAATCAATATTTTGATCACCATAGGCATCAATGTATTTGGTGATAAGTTTTGGATCGCGTGGGTAGACAAACATCCACGCTGCGGCTTGGGGGGCGGCAGGCCAGAGGCCCCAGCATCCGCCAACGATATTCATATCCTCTTCAGCGATGTATCGATTAATGGCTGAATCCACTTCAACACCCTCCACTGAGACATTTCTGTCGTAATGCACAATGAGACCTTCGAGGAGACCAGATCCGCTGCCGATTGAGATGGTGAATGCGGGCTTTGTTGGGAGGAGCGAAGCAAGGTAGGTGATCAAAGTGCTGGAGATGGCCAAGCAGCAGTCCGGGAATCTCTTGGGTTCCGGCAAAAGCTGCTTGGAGATTTGGGATATGTCCATGTTGTTCTTGATGAGTAAATTAATTACAGCTCTACACGAATGGAGAGAATATCTCATTCGGAGGCGGATTTACTTAGGTCCCGGGTATCAGAATTCGCATTGGGTATGTAACTTCCAATTCACATTGAGGTCTAGGTGAAGCTTGATCATATGTAGCTGACAGAACGAAAGGATATATTGAAAGGATCAAGAATTTTCAGCGGAAAAAATGAATCCCCAGGCAGATATACATCCCTCAGGCAGGTTTTGAGTCCTTAAGTACCAATATTGCATTTTTGTGAAGTATAGTGAAGAATTGTTTTCTTGTGATTTTCGAATTTATTCGGTTTATATCCAATATCATAGAAACTTAGTAAAAAGTTCTAGGAGCCATAGGGTCGAATAGGAGTGGTAGATTTTAGGTCAATCAGTGAACATGTTATAAGGCTCTACATATTTATATACCACAAGAGCCTACCTAGCTTCGAACAAATTGAACTACTGGGTATGGACTATAGATAACGAACTTCTTTAGAAGAAATTAATCATCGAAGAACAAACATGTGAAGCAGATTGAACTGAATAAATCTACGAAGAAGTATATCAGGAACAGAAGTCCCTGGATAGATGGATGCTGTTATAGGCCAAGTCTTTGAAGAAAGAATACTCGATTCAAAATACGGAAGATGAGGAAGAAATAAGAAAGGCGGAGGCATAACCCAAGGATACTGTATTGCAAAGAATGCAAAGCCCCATTTGTATGAATACGCGAGAAGCAAGCAACAAACAAAGCATACGATCCCAACGTGCACATGGTGGCATATGGTAGTTTGGAATACCAATGTAGACCGTGGAAGATGCTAAGGATTGGGAAGGCCAAAAGAGCGAGATCAGGGAACAAAGGAGTGATATGATATGGCTCCTATCATGAACATTCATATCACAAGGCCAAGGCAATCGATAGGCAGAAACGACAAGAACCACATATGGGCATGCTGCTCTATATTGATTCAAGTTCTCAGAGTTCTGTATGCACCGAGAAGTGTGGTGTGCGCTATTTCGGCGGTAATACAAAGCACAGCATCTGTGACCCGCACGATGACATGGGGCTCTGTGTCCCCCAGTCCTATATCATAGTAACTATATGGATTTTCTCTGTGTGGAATTTAGCTTTTGGATCACCTTCATTTCAGAAGTGAGAGATACCTGCTCCAGACAAAATTGGTGTTCCGTAAACACAGGCAAGGCGTATTCTGATAATTATATAGATGAAGACACACAGAGAGATGATGAGGAAAGTTGGAATCTTTTGGAGAACTGAGGGGCTGGCTCCATTTATATACTGATAGGTATGGAGCTATGACCTGTCTGTGCAGCATGAATGCAGGTAAACATGCCCTGCTTGGATTTTCAACAACGATCAAGTGGTATTGTGATGTATGGAAGAAGAGAAATTAACAGGGTGCCTGCCGTAATGGTAAAGGTGTATGTATATATTACTATAGCCAAGATTCATGAGGTGGACTGTATTGAGACCTCCCGATTAATCATAAAGCATGAGAATGCCTATATGTGCGCGGATATCGACCCCTATTTCTTGTCACTCAATGTTCTTCTCGCATGGTTTTCCTACTCAATATACTGCCTGCCTTCCTCCTTATTTGTCTATCTCCCACAGCCATTGCAAGTCTTTCTACGTTACGCACTGACTTACGTGGCTCATGGCATAGTTAAACAAATATCATGTGCATTCAAAAACTTCGTATAGGATCCAGGTATCATGGCAATTGCCCAGGAGTCCACCAGCATAAAGATCAATTATCGCCGCATCCATCTCAGGCCTTCTCGATCAACCGATCAAAGATCTGGCTAATCTCCTTGGCGCTCTTCTTTGGGATTCTCTTCTGGTCGTTCTCATAGTCAACAAAAGTAACACCGAAGCGGGTCTCGTAGCCCTCAGCCCATTCGAAGTTGCTGCAAGTAAACAGGTTAGTCGGACATTATACTAAAATCATCGAGGGAACAAGGTCCAAACATACTCCATAAGACTCCAAGCCATGTAAGCCCGCACATTAACACCGTCATGTGTATACGCATCAGCCGCAGCACCAATATAATCACGGAAATACTGCACGCGGAACTCATCGTTGAGCAACTCCTCAAGCGGCATATCGTTCTCGCCCAAGACACTAGTTCCATTCTCGGTGACATAGATCTTAGGATAGCCGTACCGCTCACTGAGCCACTTGAGCAGTTTCCGGAATCCAATAGCAGATGGTTGCAGCCAGGGCGATTGTGTGACAGGTCCGACACTCACGCCGTTCTTGTCTTCCAGCAGGATGTCCAGGTTACCCGCGACATCGTTGATATCCGGTTCTCCCGTCTTGGCGCGGATGAAGTTCGCGCAGTAGTGGTTCATCCCGTAGAAGTCATTGCTGCCTTGGACAAGGGCAATTTCCTCTGGTGACCAGGTTGGTAGGCGGTCGCCAAGTTGCTTGATCATACTATCCGGGTACTTGCCGTGGTAGATCGGGTCGGCGAACCATGAGATGGCGAACTCGATCTTGCGATCGCAGGCTTCCACATCGGCTGGGTTCTCAGAGTCCCAGGGCTCAGCCCAGTCACCTATGTTATGGTTTGATTAATAAAGGATCTGTTTTACGTGCAAAGAGAATGGGACCATACCGTTAAGTGTAATGCCAATCTCACCACCATCGCGTTCTTTAAATTCATCGCGGTAAATCTTCACCGCAGTTCCGTGGGCAACTAGCAAGCTGTGGCTGACAATCCATGGCTCAGTCGAGCTATCTCCCACCGCGCTCTTAGTGCGGTCACTCGTGTGGCCCGGAGCGAAGGAACCATTGTTATATCCAAGGACACTAATGCACCAAGGCTCGTTGAAGGTAATCCAGTACTTAACCTTGGATCCAAAGGCCTCGAATACCACGCGAGCATAGTGTGCGAAGTCAGCAACGAACTCCTCCTTGTTGAGAGGTCCACCGTAGCGCTTATCGAGCTCATCCGGAAGATCCCAGTGGAAGAGGGTAATCATGGGCGTAATTCCCGCGTCAATCAGGTCATCCACGAACTTCTGGTAGAACTGTATGCCTTTCTTGTTGATTGGATCGTTCCGCCCGCCGAGGGGGATAATGCGGGACCTACAGGTTTAAACAAGCTGTTACCAACCGATCTAAAGATTGAAGCTCGAAGCTCGAAGCGGGGGGCACAAAGAGACGAACCATGACAGGGAAAATCGGTATGCCTGAGCACCGCATTCTTTCAACAACGCGATATCCTCGTGTGTGCGGTGGTACGAGTCGCAAGCTACATCTCCAGTTCCGGCGCCGGCAATCTTGCCAGGGATCTTGCAGAATGTATCCCAGATCGACGGGGCGCGGCCATCTTCATTCACTCCTCCCTCAATCTGGTATGCGGCAGTTGCAAAGCCCCAGAGAAAATCCGAAGGAAGACTGGATTGTTCGATGGATCCCATGGTGAAGTGAACGATGAATGTCAAAAGGAATAGCAGTTGAAACTGTTTCGAGTCCGATCGCACATCGATATTTATGTAATTTCAAGTTTTCATTTCTATTTTGTTGAAACACCGTAACTATGGAGAGAGCTTCCTTATCGTGACAGGAATGACCTCCGTCCGGAGTGGACTCCGCGTCAAGAACGTCAGGCCGGTGATTACATAAGAGGATTCGACCACTCGGCTAAATGATCATAGCAAACTGTAACTGCAGTATATGTTGTACTATATATATTTAACACTAGACTCTGGGGACTCGTCGAGAGGCTCCACATCTTGTGACGAATTAAAAATTGCAAGTTATTAATTATAATTTATGAGCTCAGCCCCAGCCTTGGAGCGGCTGAACGGGCCGGTCAAATTGAAGGTGTATATTCCAAAAAAAAAACAAACTTGTTATATGGATATGTAGATGCCAATACAATACAATTTAATAAATAAAAAAAAAGATCCCGCCAAGAACTCCGGAATATAATGCGTGCCCCATTCGTGCAATTCATGCAATTCATGAGATCTCCATTCCTTCGTCGTCCGCCTCAACCTCGGACATCTCGTCTGTGGCAGATCCCAGCCGCATTCGAGAGCTTTTGTCTCGGTCACCTAGGCTATCTGCGCCGAATGTGACCATCTCCAATTCAGGCCCTGCGAAAACGCGACCTTCTGTATCCACTACCTCACAGAGTTGAATCAAACTCTGGTGGCTGAGGGATTTGAAACCGTCTGTCCGCACCACGCGACCCCAGTATGTCATGCAAAATTGTGCTGCTCGGCGCATCAGCCAGTGCTCATTGGTCCGCCCCGCACGCTCCCAGACGATGGCCGCGTTGTCTACATCAAGCTCTTGGCCTAACCTATTGACACACAGGAGGCGAAGCTTCGGCATGTCATAAAGATTGGCCATGACAAGCATACCCGCCACGTCAATAACACTCGAGCAATAGTCTGGATGGCCGGCAATACTGTCTGTGTATAGGTAATAGAGAAACGCGCGCACGACAGAATAAGGCTCGGGAATGTGCATCCGCTTAGTGTGGTACTCGGCCATCTGGGCGGAGTACAAGCGCTTGAAATGTGGCCATCTGAGCTGGAGAATGATACGGTGGACATGGATAGGCTCCGAAGTCCAGGGGTTCTGTTCCACAAAGGTCGGCTGGGCTTGGGTTGGGGAAACGGACGGTGTATCGCCCACATCTTCCGAGACAGACCCGTCGTGATCATCACGAATAGCAGTGATGACAAAGTCCGTGCCACTTCCAGATTCAGGGGGGTTGTCAAAAACAGCGGCTAGATCGGTTCCAAGCCCGGAAACCTGAGAGCCCATCTGATCAGACGGCCAAGGTGCACCTTGTTCGGGAGGTTCTGCCGACAAGCCGTTACCTAGCAAACCATACTTTTCCAGGTCGATAGTCAGGACTTCACTCATATGATTCTCGTCGCTACCTCCCGGTACATTCGCGACATCAAGACTACACCCCAAGAGCCATGCTTTGGTCCCCGCGTCATTGACAGTGCAGTAGTGCCATCGATAGCCAGGCCGGAAGATCTCTTGGCCATCGGCCAGCCGTTGCCAGCGCAGCGAGTTCAGGTCCAGAGCTGACAGGTTACAATCATGCGACCGTACGGTCTCCGAGGGCGTGATTAAGTCGAGCAGGACACCAGAGGCAAATGAATGAAAATGAGTACCAGAAAAGAGGGAGGGAACATGAGGACCAGAATCAAACCTAAGACAAGATATGGCACCAGGCGCAACTGGCTTGCGTCGGCCCAAATTGCGTACCTGCACACTGCCTGAATTGGCGGCGTATATTCCGGAGCGGGGAGACATTTGGTGAGGGCTGCTAGAGATAGAGTCTGGAAGATGAGCCGCAGGAAGATTGACGTCCAGGGAGTTGACTCTACCTTGGGGAGTGGCATTTCCGGCCAGCGATGGAGATCCCTTAAGGTCGAGCCACCAGATATCAGTCGTCCGTTCCATGTTTGGACCCAATCCACCAAATATCCAGAGCCGGGTGCCCCAAACCCAAGCTGTATGGTCAAAGCGAGCAGTGAAGCTCCATGTTCGAGACCAGGTCCATGTCTGTAGATCCAAGTAGGTCAAATCATCCAAAATCACATTCTTCTCCCCTGTCACGCCTCCTATGCCTGTCACTCCACCCACAATAAAAAGCTTATCTTCATGAATGACAGCAGCATGGCGGGCTCGTCCGCGCGGGATCGACCCGCGAATTTCGGGAAGTGTCCAGGTGAAGGTATTGAGATCGAGGATGACAACGTCGGAAAGGTATTCGCGATGTTCATTTTCGCCTCCAAACACAATCAATTTATCCCCTTGATATAATGTGGCCGTGTGTCCTATCAAAAAAAAAAAATTCTAGTCAGAGTGTCTATCATTAAACATGGACGAATGAGAAGAGAGAATCGTTACCCATGCGAACTCCGGGGATATCGCCATAGTTGTCAACGAGCTCCCAACGTAGAGTCTCCAAGTCCAGCCTGAGCACGTGGTTATAAACTAAAAAATCATCAGTGCCATTTTAGAGATTATAGGGTAAGGAGTATGTGAACCTTCATCGGTAAACTGGTCAAATCCGCCGAATGCATAAATGCGATCATTGCTGCAGTACGTCACCGAGGCATTGACCAGGCACGCAGGGACATGGCCCTGGGCTTTTTTTATGCCGGGTCGATAGTCCGCGCTGGTCCGACGACCACCAGTCTGACTGGCGGGCATCAGAAAGACGTCCTGCATTGCTATAGAGGGAGTACAACAGGATACCGGGTTAGCGACCCTTGAAGATCCCGACCAGGCAGGGAGAAATCGTGGTGGGTCTCGGTGGAACTGAGAGGAACGTGGTGGGGGTTGCAAGAGAGGAGATGGAGGCGCCATCCCAGTGGCAAAAAAAGGGGACCTTGAATTGTATCCGCAACTGGCACAATCGGTCATGACATTTTCTCCTCTAGGGCCCATGGAAGATATGTTCTCTCGCCTTCTTTGTGGATGCCTCAGTGAATCAGGCAATTGTCATTAAATAAATGCCAAGACAATTGTCACTAAAGAAGACAAGCGCGTTATATAAACGCTAGTCCAAATATGGATTAATGCGCTATGTAGCTCAGGTAACCGTTGCTATGGGGAGAGCCTCATACTTTTCAGCAACGAGTATAGTACCTACCTTCTATTTATTCGCTTTTCTCCTGAACTCCCTTTCCTTTTCTTTATATCTCAATCTCACTATCCTCAATTGTCTGCATACTTCTCTGTTGGTTGATCTCACATTAACCTTTGCATCGATTCGTATTGCATCTTCTATTGGGGTTGGTCCCATTACATCTACTCTGATCATATATTACTATGGCTTCTGTTACTGCATCAACTCCGGTGAAGAGTCACCATGGGCTCTTCTCCTCCAAGACTGCTGGGGGCCGTATGCCTCTAAGCCCTTCGCCAAACCCCCGCGCAAGCGGCCACTCGTCACCCTTCACCCCTCCTCGCCAGTCTGATGCTGGCCGCAATCAAGCCAAGTCAGTATACGGTGGAAACCTCTCCGCCCACTTCGCCAAGTCCATCTCGAAAGCAACCCGCACATCCCACCGTGACTCTCCCAAGACAAACAAGTCGAACATTGCCAGCACCCGCACCCGCAAGTCACCCAAGCACTTGGAGCTCGGTGTCTCGGACTGGACTTTGACTGGTACAAGTGCCACAACAGCCAACACTCCTTCCAAGGAGCACATCCGCCGGGAGATTCCTACCCGCGCTCGTGCTAGCAAGACAACTGTGCGCATTCCTCATAACGCCGGTGACCGTTTTATTCCCAACCGGAGCGCAAGTGAGGGTCTAGCTACTAGCGGGGCGGCAAAGCCAGAAGAGAAACAGCGCCCTAAGAGTGGTGGTACCGACGGATCGTCAGTCCTCGCCTCGGCGGCCAGTGCTTTTGACATTGGTGCACGTGGATCAGATGATGAGCTTACTGCTGCTTTGGAGAACCTGGGTCTGGATGACAATGAGCCTCCTACCTATACTCGCCCAGCTCCTGATGCCGTGGCCTACAAATCATCTCTGGCTGAAGCTTGTGGGGTAAACATGAACACTCGCATCCTCGCCTTTAAGCCTCCCCCTCCCGAGTCATCGAAGCCTATTGATCTTCGTGCTCAATATAATCGCCCCCTTCGCCCTGCAAAATCCACAGCTGCCCAGTTCCGTCGCCGAGTTCAAACCGCACCCGAGCGGGTCCTGGATGCTCCGGGTCTTTTGGATGATTACTATCTTAATTTGCTCGACTGGAGCTCTGGTAACCAGGTTGCCATCGGTCTCGAGCGAAACGTATACGTTTGGTCTGCTGAGTCTGGCTCGGTCAACTGTCTTTTGGAGACCTCGCCCGACACATACGTGAGCAGTGTGAAGTGGAGTGGCGATGGTGCCTACGTTGGTGTTGGCTTGGGGACCGGTGAGGTCCAGATCTGGGATGTTGAGGAAGGTTCCAAGCTTCGCAGCATGTACGGCCACGACTCCCGCGTAGGTGTTATGGGCTGGAATAAACACACTCTATCCACTGGGGCCCGGAGTGGGCTTGTCTTCAACCACGATGTTCGCATCGCAGAGCACAAGATCGCTGAGCTGGTCTCCCACACTTCTGAGGTTTGCGGCCTAGAATGGCGCGCTGACGGCGCTCAGCTCGCCACTGGTGGAAACGATAACCTCGTCAACATCTGGGATGCTCGCTCTCTGAGTGCCCCCAAGTTCACCAAAACCAATCACCGCGCCGCCGTCAAGGCTCTGAGCTGGTGCCCTTGGCAATCCAACCTCCTTGCCACTGGCGGTGGTTCCTACGACCGTCACATTCACTTCTGGAACACTACCACCGGTGCTCGCACCAACAGCATTGACACTGGCTCCCAAGTCACTTCCCTGCGTTGGAGCAACCACTACCGCGAGATCGTCAGCTCCAGCGGCTTCCCCGACAACTCTCTGAGTATCTGGAGTTACCCGACTCTGGTTCGCAACGTGGAGATCCCTGCTCACGAGACCCGCGTCCTCCACAGTGCTATCAGCCCTGATGGACAGATGCTGGCCACCACTGCTGCGGATGAGAGCTTGAAGTTCTGGAAGATCTTTGAGCGCAAGGCTGGTAGCAGTGCTTCCTCCGCTCGTGAGGGTGGTGTCGGCAGCAAGGCTCAGATGACCAAGTCTATGACCATCCGCTAGACGCCTCCAACCTTTCCTTTTTTTCCCCTTGTTTTTTTCGTTGGATACCCTGGTTCATGGTGATATTGAAAGCATTGATGGGCTGGGACATTAATTTCGGTGTAATGGTTCTTTTTGATGATGATTTCGGTGTTCTGATGGTGTTCTTTGTATCTACTTTCCCGTAAGCAGGCTGTACAAATTGTCCAAATGCCATTCTTACGGTTGCTTTAATTCATTTTGCTTATCCATCTTCTCCTTTATTTGTATCTTGTCTCTGCTTCCTCGATTTACTTCGTTCATTTCTACTTGAAAAAGTGCCCATGTGGGTTGGCTGTCGATGACTAAGCCTCCAGGATACAGTGGGATTTCGACCGCAGAGCCGTGACTTTCACCTTCGCCAACCCATCGCGAAACTCACCGTCTCGTTTTCCTCTGACATTTGCACTTGCGTCACTTGTCTTTTACGGCCTCTATTATTCTTTCTACCTGTGTGGATACATAGTATTCACAAATTGCTTGATATTGCGTCATTCGTGCGCGCGATCAACCAGCACCCCGGCAACTTGATAGTTGCGACGGAGCACTTTACGTCCTAGCGAAGCTATCCTTACCCAGTACATTTCACCAGTCACCCCATTGCTTGCTCTTTGCCCCCTTCGCATAACCATCCATCAGCTCATCAAGTGGTTCTTGCTCGGCAATCATGTCCAACCAGCAAGTGGTAAGTCCCAGCTTCTTCTCCGACAATCACCCTGTTCATCCCCAGTCGTCGCTCGCATAGACTGTTTACTCTTCACTTATAACTGTGTTCTCCTGGTTCCTATTGGAGGTTCCTTTGATCTGAGATGAGAGCTGACACTTATGGCTTCATAGGGTGCGGTTTTCGAGAAGGTCATCCAGGAGGTCTGTGATGCTTCCCAGGTCGACTTCGAGGAAAGCGGTGTCGACCAGCAGACTCTGCATGATCTGCGTGAGGTTAGTACCATATTTCCCTATTCTATACCGTCTGTCTTGTGTTGTCAAAGTCTGGTGTGGATGATTCCCCCAAAAGCGGGGATGGTCGAGGTGGTGCGGGAGGCGGTGCTTACGGGGGAACACCGGCTTATGAGTCTTCCTTTATATGTGCCGCTCTTACCCGCTTAGGCGCTTTTAGACCGCCAAGATTCTGTCTCATCATGCTTGATTATATCATACAGCCTGGATATACTAATTATTATACAGACATGGCAACATAAGCTTTCGTCAGTGAACGTCGCTCATTTCCCCTGGGATCCTGCTCCTCAGCCTCCTCAGCAGCACTCAGTTCCCCTCCCCGCGGCTACTGTCCCCTCCAACGCTCCCCGACAACAGCCTCCCCAGCAGCAATATGTTCCCCCGCCCGTTTCAATTCCCCCAACTGCGACCTCGCACACCATACCCATGGGCGGGCCTCGCATCAAGACCGAGCCAGGAACCAATGGCCAAACCGGAATGCCGCACATGACCACACCCATGCCCCCGCATGGTCTCAACCCTCAGTCGGCTCGCGACCGTGCTGCAAATGCGCTTCACCAGAAATACGGCGCTGCAGCCGCAAACTCCGTCCACCAAATGCAAGCCCAAGCCCAAGCTGGACAAGGATATCAGATGCACCCTAATGCCCACGGGCAAATGCCACCAATCAAACAGGAACAGAACTACCCGCACATGGGTCCTGGACAGACCGATGGTGGAGGTGATCCGATGACTGACTGGAAGGCAGAGGTAGCACGCCGCAGGGCAGCTGCCGAGAATGGAGAAGGTGACCGACTTCTGCGCGAGCATCTCAAGCAGCGCATGTCTCAGTATGAGGGCGGAGGTCTCCTTCGTCCCTTGGAAGAGCATGAGTCCTCTGCCAAGGTCGCTCGCCGTGTGGCTCTTACCACGCCCCTCAACCAAAACGCTACCACCGAGTCAACTTCATCTACCCCTCGCGTCACTGGCCAGTTTGATGGCGCAGAAGAAGATGTCAAGGAGGAAGACGAAGACGCCATCAACTCGGACCTGGATGATCCAGATGACCTCGTTGCCGATGACCACGACGCAGATGAATCGGAGGGCCAGGTTATGCTTTGCACATACGACAAGGTCCAGCGCGTGAAGAACAAGTGGAAGTGCACCTTGAAGGATGGCATCCTGACCACTGGTGGCAAAGAGTAAGTCAATCATAGTCTGCCATGTCATGCATATACTGACCTTATTAGATACGTCTTCCACAAGGGTCAAGGTGAATTCGAATGGTAGTCAAAACGACACCATCACTTCATGTTCTTTCAACCCATCTTCTGATTTCCATTGACGACATATCTTTTTCCTCGTTCTGTAACAATTTTCTGCTCATCATGTGCTCTATCTCATGGCACAAACGAAAACCAATCCCTACGTCTTTTCATTCACGCCCTCGAAACGGTTTGTGCAAGCGAAATATTTCTCATGATTCTCACTACCCAAATATCGACATGGTCAGCAACCGGGTCTTTGCTTCGCTTTTTCTTTGATTTTGAGCTTCTAATGGCTCACGGCGCTTACAAGTGAGGATGGGT